ACCTTGAACATGGCCGTTTGATCAAGTGAGAAGACTCGTTTTAGTGCCACCGCGGTACTCGAGACCCACGAAAATCGCACAACGGCTTACGGCGATATAATGACCAGAGACAGGTCCATGGCCCTATAGAGTATAAGTAGACAAACGGAAGTCATTAGCCGAGCAAGGATGGAGGCCCGCATACTCCAGACAACCTAGAGGCTGGGTCGGCTGGGATCTCTGGAGTGACAAGGCCGGGTAGACGTGTAAAGACAATATGTATGACAATAGTTTGCCCTCTCACGAGTTTCGTCTTTAGTATATTTGTTTGAGGGGAAATATCATGTAATTCGGTGTAGCTCTGTGAATGGCTATACCGCCTCAATAGAGGCGGCCGAGGCATTGGCGGGCTGCTGACCATTGGCGAAATGATAATCAACGACGGAACCGTGCATCATCGTCCGGAGTGCGGCAAACAAACTTGGGATCGCGGCAGGTCATCATAGGCACTAGGCAGCCCCCTTCCCCCCTGGATGAGCTCTGATTCTGATCAACCGTCGTCCGCCTCGGTATGACTTGATCCACAAAGGAAACCGCACGGCCGGGAAAACTGGGGGGTTTTTGCAAATGCTGAGGTTATGAGGAGTAAGGTAGTGGGGGGTTTGGAGTCCTGGTCAAAGAATAAGGAACCAAACAGTTTGATGGCTGAGCGGGATGTGACGGTGCAGCAGGTTTTGCTCGCTTGGAAAGACTCGGATTGGTGATTTGCCTGTTGTGGTGGAGAACTCCAGAAGTTGAAGGCGACGACGGGGTAGCAGCCGAGACCAAGTTGTGCGTGTTCTGGAGAAGCCATGGAAATCGGGTCATGGCTATCCGCAGGAAGCCGAGGCCGAATGATGCACCGTCCGTTGGAATTCCGGAGACGCGCCATGAGGAGTCTTGCGTGGCCAGCATGACACCAAGCTGTCGAGACTCTTGGACGCTACGGCATTTCTTGAAGGGGCCCTGAAGGTTGTCTGGAACTCTCGACTTTGGGTCATCAGACGAGGTGCAGGGAAGCTCAGCCCCAAACGTGGACGAGCAGGGCTGATGCTGCCATAGAGGCCAGCAGTTGGCTTTTACCGGACTGCTTGACTTGCCGCTCTGCTTCTTCTTTCTGTGGGAGCATTCCTGTTCTTGTGCGGCGTTCTGTAAGGGAGCGTCTCATGTTTGCAGACTTGGCGAAACGGAGACGGAGGTTCGGACAGAGGTTGATGTGGACGCTTGTGCTTGTTTCCTGGTACGTTTGTGACGGGGGACGTTGGTTGCAACGTCAACGCAGTACATGGAGTCTGATGTGATGTGGCCGCATCTTGATAGGATAGAAGACAATTCCAGTCAATGTTCGTCGATGGAGGCCGATGGTAGCTCAGATTGGTTCACATGTGACCAAAAAAGTGTACGGATATCATTCATGCGGCTCTGTGAGATGGGCGTGGGCGGCAGTTGAGAGCAATGGCAGCAACCTGTACAGGGCCCTGGGCGAGGAAGAACCAACATCCCATGTCACTGGTTATTGGTCCCTGCTTTTGTAGGATGTTTCCAGGTACTCCGTACTTTCTCCGCCAACTTTGGTTAGAGAAGGTACGATGCGGTGACCGACAATAGCGAGACTTCCGTTGATGGTTATAATCCGACAACATCCGATTATACGCCTTCCTAAAACTTTTGTCCATACTTAAGGTAAGGCAGAATGTACGGAGTACAAAGTCGAGGTTCCTGAGGTTCCGAGTGTTGGGTTGGGAAGGAGACGCTCCCCGGCGTTCCTGTCTTCCTGTCGTCCTATCAGAGACCGCGACTGACCTGCAGAAGTATTCCTATTTTGGGAGTGGACCCATCCAGGTTGCTCCCTTCTGAAACGCGCCAATTTATCTGATGTCGTGATGGGCCGGGGATCTCCATGATGCTCGCTCTTCCGTACCAACTTTTCTGATTTTCATCTTCTAGACCGTTGATGGACATTCTTAAAATTTCTCTCTATGATCTGTGCCCGCTTCTTCTCCATGTTGGTGGATGCTGTTAATATGGATGCGCCGATGAAGATGGACAGGAATCCACCAGGTCAATTACCAAAAGCTTGCTGCGTCCCTGGTCTTTATCTCGAAGCGAAATCGAGCTACATGCATGTCCCGGCGAGGTACGTACTTCTTGACTGACAGTGACAACACGTGGAGGATGCCAGTGGTGCTCCGTACCTGGGACGCATTCCTCAGGCGCACCTTTCTATGTACCCAGTCATGCAGACACTCTCCCTTTTTCCAAACTTGGCAAGCTGGCGTCCGCATTGCGTGGGCAAGCGGGCGGTGGAAGAGAGAAGATGAACACCGCAGAGGCCAACGGATTCCGCGCGTCGTCTTTGAGGGGCAGAGAGATAGACTTTGGGGGCTCATTTGGGGTCCAAAGATTGTCCGATCTTTCGCTGTTTCCAGAGCAATTAACTCGGAAGCCACCTCGGATTTTAGTAAAGACGCGCAATGCTTCATCGCCCTCACATCGTTGACGATGGAGTCAAGGCACGCTTAACGAGGCCCAATACGGGAGACCTCTCAGAAGACGCTGTGGCTTATCTGAGTAAGACCCAGGCTGACAAGCACCAGCCCGGGCTACACTAGAGTCTAGACATGCGTTTGACACGATACGAGACCCCAACGAGATGACAGTCACGACACACATTGCGAAGTATTCGTACTCTGTACGTGCGGCTAGTTGGACTCGACTCAACGTCGAGTCTCACTCTTCCGTCCTTCCGTTGTTCCACCCGGCAGCTCTTGCCGGGCACAGATCCCACTCTGCTCATTCGCCATCCCATGACGCCGTCTCGCAAACATTTTGTTCGGATTGTTGCTTCTAACAGTGTGAGGTGTGCGTGTCCCTCTGTCGCATTGTCTTGATACAGTCGAGTCTCGAAAACATGCACATGCTTACAGAAGACCCTCGCTGGGTTTTCCTGAATGCTTGGTGTTCGTCTATGCCAATCGTTTTGCTCTGATCTGTCTGACTGTCAAGCCTCTTGGCTGATCCAGTGGCATGTCTCCTGCAAGGTGCATTCGATCCGATAACAACAGAAGCGTCCCAGTCAGCGCCAAGTGTCATGGCCAAATCATCGACTTGGAGACTTGCGTATCCGTACCTCACCTATCTGCCAAGTTACATCCCCAGTGGCAGAATGTGCTTGGTGGTGTTCCGTCGCCTCGCTACTGGGTAGCATCCGCACCAAGGCGGTGGTGTCGCCGGCCGGAAGCACATTGCGCAGTAGCGCTGCATCGTATGCGCGATCCACGCAACACACCTTGAATAATTCGTACAGGGTGCAGTACCTATGTGTAACTCCGCAATCACCATCTCACTGTTCAGACTTGAAAGGAAGAAGAAAGGTGGTGGTGAAGGGGCGAGAGACCTGGCCGCGCAGGGCAAAAACTTGAAAAAGCACACAGGGAGGGCAGGGGGAAGGGAAAGGGGTGACTTTTCACACATACTACGTAGGTACTTTAGGTAACCACACCCAGAATGCCACATCGACTTTTCTTCGGATTGCGAATCGTCCCCAAAGCTCCCTATCCACGCCTTCGTAGGTATTTCCTCCAAGGTATTTCATTCTCTGATTCCTTACCTCTATCTATCCTAGGTACAGCCGTTCCGTTCCCTAGCTTCCAAGGTTCGCTAGGTTATCTTTGTCATTCCCCCTTGCGGCATGTATTAAAACCCGCGGCAACCAACTCATGCCAAGTCTGCATTCCTTCCGCCCAGTCGCAGAATATTTCTCGAGGTTTGCTGCCTTCTTTTGCTGCATACAAACACAATCACAAGCTTGGGATCTGCCGGTCCATTCTTTCAGACCAACTGCATCTTTGAGAAGCCTTGGCTTATTACCTATTACCTGATCAACTTCGAGGACACACGAGCCTTGGATTGATTGAGGCGTTTTCAGCACGGCACCGTACCCGTTCTGCACAGCCTGCCGCCTTCCCGAGTCCCGTCTTATCGGACCAGGACACGCAAGTCAGCATCCCGGCGTCATCCAAGTCGTGGCCTACGGATACCGCCGCAGCCACAGCCGCATTCGCATCTTTTTTCTCCATCTCACCCGCCCTCTCACCCTCGCCCTCGCCGCCATCGCCCCCCTAGACTCTGGATACGGACTACGGGACCACGGTACCTCTATATTGCCAGGGCCAGGGACAGAAAAAGGTGCATTCGCCCAATCGAGACCCCTGGAAAGGAGAGAGGGAAAATTCAGAACAAAAAAGGGAAAGGTCTCTTTGCTCTCCCGCACCCAATTATTTCCAATTCTTGTCCTTTCGAGTCTTGAACAGACAAGCCAACCACAACAACCAACGCCTATCTACTATTTACCTGGTATAGTAGAGCTTCAACGTTGACGTATCCGTACGTTCGTTTTCGCAATTCCTTGGCACCTCTCAGATCGATCGCCGGAACCCTATCCAGCTACTCCCCGACTATCGACGGCCCCATCTTCGAGGTATGTTCCTCGTCTGCCATTACGTCCCCGGGACCCACGCCTCTCTATTCGCTACCCAGCTCATCCCTTCACCACCAAAACCTTGACAGGCTTCCTCTCCTTTTCCATCCAGCCCAGACTTTCCAGACTTCATTTACCTGCCAGCCCTACCCGCTTGCTGTCACTTATCCTCAGCATTGCGCCTCAACCTGCTGCCTCTTGCTCCATTCACCTAATCAGTCCCAAACTGACATAATCTTTCTTGGTTTCGCAGGAATCACTCCGCCATAGTCCGAACCTGAAAGCTTCCTACGACTCTTATCCTCCTTAAACCCCTAATCCGGCGCCTCCAACTTTTTCAGGAACCACGTCGCATCCGACTCTATCTACGACAGCCACTCTTTTCCAATCCCACAATCCGATTGTACGAGTCTTTGGCAAAGCGAAACTTTGCCTTCCGATGACTTCATAGTCTACCAATTGAAATCATAACAAGCCGTCACTCTTTACACATAAATCCGCAATGCTCACACCACGAAGAGCCGTCGCGGTCGCCGCGTTCCTCTTAATCGTTTTCTACCTAATTTCCTCCTCCCACGACACAACACCTGCTGTCAAGGCACCAGTCGCTGCCTCGAACCATGATACGACCGACTCGAAAACGTCCTCATACACCCCTGCCTCCGCCGACGGCGAGATTAAGCCCTCTGCTCCCAAGGTTGCGACGCAGAAGCCCATGATGGACATGTCCAAGATGTCCTTGTACGACAAGCTGGCATACCAATACCCCTATGACCCCGAAACGCGTTTCCCGGCCTACATTTGGCAGACATGGAAGTGGACACCTGCTGAGCAACAATTCAACTTCCGCGAGCAGGAAGCCAGTTGGTCAGAACAGCACCCTGGCTTCGTGCACGAGGTCATTACCGACAAGGTCGCAGTCAACCTGCTGCGCCTCCTATACGCGTCCGTCCCCGAGGTTCTCAAGGCGTACGACGCTCTTCCTCTGCCCGTCCTGAAGGCCGACTTCTTCCGATACCTGATCCTGCTTGCGCGCGGCGGTATCTACTCCGACATTGATACCTACGCTATCAAATCTGCCCTTGAGTGGATTCCCGAACGCATTCCCCGGGAGAGCGTCGGTCTCGTTATTGGCATTGAGGCTGATCCTGACCGCCCTGATTGGAAGGACTGGTACAGTCGTCGTATTCAGTTCTGCCAATGGACCATTCAATCCAAGCCCGGGCACCCTGTCCTGCGCGAGATTGTTGTTCGCATCACTCAGGAAGCTTTGAAGCGCAAGAAGGCAGGCGAGCTGGACAACATTGCCGACAAGAACGTTGTCGAGTTCACTGGACCTGCGATTTGGACCGACGCCATCTTCGACTACTTCAACGACCCCCGATACTTTAACATGAAGAACTCTAAGGGAGCTATTGACTGGCAGAACTTCACGGGTATGGAGACGTCCAAGAAGGTGGGCGATGTGGTGGTTCTCCCCATCACGAGTTTCAGCCCTGGCGTGCAACAGATGGGTGCCAAGGATTACGACGATCCTATGGCCTTTGTGAAGCACGACTTTGAGGGTAAGTCAGGACACATGTTGTTTCCAAAGATGTAGAACTAATATGTGACCGCAGGTACTTGGAAACCCGAAGAGCTTCGCCACATTGGCGAGCAAAACGAGGATGGTTCGTCGAAATCGAAATAAGACAACCATCGAGCCGTACGAATGTGACGACACACCTTTTCTTCTGGTACATGTCTCTTGTAATATTTGCATCTCCAGCGGCGTCCTTACCCTCGGTCACGGGTTGGGCATGTTTCAGAAGTCGCGTTTCGTTTTTTTATTGACTTTTTTCTTTCTTTCTTTTTTTCGTGGCATCGGCAAGAGGAACTACAAACGAACTGCATACCCCAGGGAAAGGGGGGAAAGCGTAGAGCTTTGTTTTTGGCATAGAGTCTAGTTACACCATACCTCGATCTGGCATACCGGTGGAGGAGAAGCAGAGAAGGGACCTCACGGGGTGAATTGGGAGATGGGCAGAAAATGGCCTCCAGAGGCGAACGTCCGGCGAGGCGAAAGGCCGCAAAAGGTTTGGGAACAGCTGTAATCCTCGTTAGCATCGTGGTACATATACCCTAAGCAGTCTGCGAGCAAATGGAACAAATTTGAAATGTCAAACTCGCGATGAGGATGAAGTGCTGCACCAATTGCATCGGGGTACCCTCTTTCTTCACTGGTGGACAAACAATGGATTCACAACCATCTAGGTATCAACCTGCCGACAGTCCCGATTCTTGAATTAGAGTTCTAAAAAACTGCGTAGGCGTGGCCTCGAAACCCGTCGAGGCTGTCACGGCGCGTCATTCTGCGCCTGACACCCGGCCAATCCCACATCGCGTGCACCCGCGGCTCCTTTTCTGCTCTTTTTTAAGGAGGTGTTCCCTGTTCGCAGCGGGTATAACCCCGCACGGGTTCTCCGCATTAGCTGTGAGGTAAGGGCGGGGGAGCTTCCTCTGCCAAGGCGTATACCCCCAACTTTCGGCTCGGTGTGACGGGGGGCGGGGGGGGGGACAGCGGCCAGACGCGGGAGAGGAGGAGTGGAAGAGAGACTGGACGGACCGGACGAAGAAGAGGGCCGAGAGTTCCAACCTCTTCTCCCCGCCTTGCTTTGAAGGATACATTGTACTTTACTCAGACGCACTCGAATATCTCGACGAATTGTTGGAGAGAAGAAGAGCCATGATAACGTCACAACGAGACATCTTTTGAGAAATACCTTTTTGGATTTTTGGATTTAGTCAAGCACCTTTTTGGTTTAAAACTTTGGGTTACAGAGCCGAGGTTGAGCGCGGGTAAGCTTCAACAACGACAACGACGACATCTACGGAAGATGATGCTCTCGACGGCTGGATACGTTCGTCTGGCGACGGGTCCCGTGGCGCGGACTACGGCGCGGCGAAGGTGTGCCGGTTTGAGGCCGGGTGCCGTCGTTGCCGAAGTTGGGCAGCGGAGGAGGCTGTCTTCGGGGTATGAAGGGTTGAGTTTCAGTCTGGGTCCTGAGGATGTGAGTTACTTTTCTCTTTGCTGTTAGACTACTGGTGAGGGTGGAGTTCTGCTCGCTCTAGCTCATCTCATCTCAGCTCGAGTGAGTGAGTGTGTGACCAGTCAAAGAGGGAGGCCAATTGTTGATGTGAAGCACCAAAACTCATCACGAGAGATGACAATTTCCTGGAATTCACAAACTCGCGACCTCACTCGCTCACCTGCAAGACGGCAGTAAAGAGAATGTAAGGCTAACACAACCGGCAGCCCCCCCTCCTAACCCAAACAATCCCCCAGCACTTTTCCCAAATCGTCTCTCAACACGGCGACCTCCCCGCCGTCACAGCCCGCAGCCCAACCCCAAACTCATCATCCGCCTCCCCGGCCGCAACGACAACAACCCTAACCTACGCCGCCCTCGACGCCCTCTCAAACACCCTAGCCCACGGCCTCCGCTCCCTCGGCGTCCGCAAAGGCGACCGCCTCGCTGTCTCCCTCGGCAACGGCGCCGAGTTCGCCGCGCTCACCTACGCGGCCTTCAAGCTCGGCGCCGTGCTCGTGCCATTGAACCCGGGTTTCAATGCGAAGCAGGTTGGCGCCGCGCTGCGACATCTGGGCGTCGAAGTGCTCGTCATTGGCAAGGTTACGGATCTGCCGTATAAGCCGTGTCGGGGACGGAGCAACCTCGAGCTACTGAGGACGCTGGTGCCGGATTTGGATAAGGGCGGAGGAGTGGTGGAGAGCGAGGTTGTTCCGAGTTTGCGAAGGGTCGTGGTGTTGGACAATGCTGGGTTTCATCCCGAGGTGGAATTTGCTGGTGGTTTCAAGGTGCTGACGCCGTATGAGGTTCTACTCGAGTCTGGGGGTGCGACGAGGGCGGTTGTGCCCGATGCGCCGCTGAAGCCGGACGACACGATCAATATCCAGTTCACGTCGGGGACGACATCTCAACCGAAAGCGGCGATGCTGACGCACACTTCGATCCTTAATAACGGACACCTCATCGCGCAGAGGATGGGTCTGGTGCCAGGTGACAGGATCGTCGTGCCGCCGCCGTTGTTCCACTGTTTCGGGTGCGTGTTGGGATACATGGCGACCGCGACGACGGGGGCGGGGATCCTGTTCCCCAGTCCGGCCTTTGACCCGTCTGCCACGCTGAAGATGGTGGCTGACTACGACGCGACGGGACTATACGGTGTCTCGACCATGTTTGTCGCCGTGCTGGAGGCGTTGGCGGGCGGCGGGGTGGTGAAGAAGGAGGATATGCCAACGGGTCTGAGAAAGGGCATCGCGGCGGGGAGTTCGGTGCCGGAGAGTTTGATGAGAAGATTGTACGAGGTTCTCGGGCTACGGGACCTGGTGATTTGCTACGGGATGACGGAGACGAGTCCCGTGAGCTGTATGACGGCCCCCGACGACGGATTCGATAAGAGGACGGGGAGCGTTGGGAGGGCGATGCCGCATACGGCGGTGAAGATTGTTGATCCTTCGGACCGGGGACGGGTTGTGAAGCGCGGGGAGAGGGGGGAGCTCGCGGCGGCGGGGTACCTTGTTATGAAGGGGTATTGGGGGGACGAGGAGCGGACGGCGGAGGTGAGGAGGGAGGAAGAGGATGGGCGGGTGTGGATGTACAGCGGGGACGAGGCGCGGATGGACGAGGATGGGTATGTCGAGATTACGGGGCGGATCAAGGATCTGATTATTAGGGGTGGGGAGAATATTCACCCCCTCGAGGTTGAGAATTGTTTGTTCCAGATGGAAGGGGTTAAGGAGGTTTCTGTGGTGGGCGTGCCGGATGAGAAGTTGGGGGAAAGCGTTGCTGCGTTTGTAGTTTTGAAGAAGGGCTGGAAAGGGGAGGGTGGCGATGGTGCTGCGGAAGGGGTGAATGTCATTACGAGGGACGAGGCGAGGGCTTGGGTTAGGGAGCACCTGTCGAGTCATCTTGTGCCCAAGCATGTCTTCTGGGTGGATGATTATCCCAAGACGCCGAGTGGAAAGATTCAAAAGTTCAAGCTGCGGGATATGGCAAAGGATCTGCTCGAAGGGAAGAAGTAGGAGATTCTGAACGGATCACAAGGTATGGATCTACAGTAGATACGGCATCACATAGTTGAGGTATCACGGTGTTTTTGATTTAATTGACCAACAAACTGATCAAAGCTAGTGCTCAACCTTGAGTGAGAAATCCACGTGTGGTACGCCCTGGTGAATGGCACTCGTCGAAACAATATCAACGTCTGTGAATTAAGTCAGTATATCGCCAAATGAAGAACAACAAGTCACCCGGCATAACTCACCATTACACACATAGTTCTCAACGTTTTCCAACGTCAACCCACCAGAGACCTCGACCAAGAAGTACTTCTTCCCTGCCCACTTCTCCTTCAAGCTCTTGGCCGCAATCTTAACCCCCTCGCCCGTAAAGTTATCCAGCATGACAACATCCGCCCCGGCCGCAATCGCCTCGTCCGCCTCCTCCTCGCTCTGCACCTCAACCTCGACCTTCAAACTGAACCCGCCCACGCTCTTGGCCGCCTTGACCGCATTCGTGATGCTCCCCTTGCTCCAAACGTGATTATCCTTCAACATAATCATCGAACTCAGATCATGCCTATGCGCGTCCGCACCGCCCACAAGCATACCGTACTTCTCCACCAACCGGAACCCAGGCGTCGTTTTGCGCGTACCCGCCAGCACACCAGCATACCCGGCCGCCCTCAAATTCACCAGCATACCCCTCGTCATGCTCGCCACGCCAGAGCACCGCGCAAGCGTGTTCAGCGCCACCCGCTCACCCAACAGGATCCCGCGCGTGGGCCCCGAGACGGTCGCGACGCGCATCTTGCCCTTTGTGTTATGGTCTCCGTGGCCGCGGAGCTCGACGTGGGAGCCCTCCTTGACGTGCCACTCGACGGTGCAGCCGCACTGCGCAAAGACCTCGTCGACAAAGGGCCGGCCGGCGACGATGCCGCCTGATTTGCCCCAGAGGGTTGCGGTGCGCGGGGCGGCGCCGACAACGAAGCCGCCGTAGTCGAAGGAGGGGGTGTCTTCGGCGAGCCAGGCTGTTACCATTGTCTTCCAGCTGGGCGGGAGGAGGTGCTCCGGGGAGCCGTGCTCGAGAGGGACGTCTTCCATTGTGAGGTGCGGAGGTGTGGAGGGGTTCGTTCGGCTCGATCGCTTAGACGGTGATGTCGTGTAGTAGGCGGCAAGGCGAAGATATGGAGTCGGTTTGGGGTCCGGGAGGAAGACGGTTCGGTGATTGAGAGAAAGGAGAGAATTTGTAAGACTAGCAGACTCAAAGGTTAATCGCCACGGTTCGGATTCGTTGACGTTGTTGCCGTTGCCGGCTTCTGTCGGTGCCGTCTTCTGCCGATGGTGGGGTTAGCGTCGGCAGCTGGGCGGGGTAGTGAAACAGCTGGCGGCGACTGGCGGTCCCAGGTCTTCCCTTCGACTTACACGAAGTTCCGAAGCAGTGAACTCAAGATAAATGGTAAATAGGAGTTTCATTATTTCTAGTTAATTGAGTACAAATTGATGTTCCCGGTACGCGTTTCTCAAAATCCATTAAAATCAACAACGATCCGCCCCGGATCTCTGAAAAAACGTCCCCCTATCCTCTGCCTCACTGACAGAAAACTCATCAGACGCGTACACAAACCCGCTTGACTGAATAGACCCAGACCTAGAAGACTCGGTCAGCACCCCAAAGTCAGAACTATCATGCGAATGCTGCCGCTCTCTCGACTCGTCTGGCTGGGCCGGGTTTGCAGTCTCGTCGGCCGGGGCACCAGGTGACAGCGGCGCAGAGTCGTAGAAGTCCTCAATGGTTAGTTGTCGGATGGGACGGAAGTTCCGGTACAGTTCCTTCTGGGCGCCCCGTACCACGTCGACGGTGGCCCCGTCCCCGTTCTCCCCGCGTCGGTTCCGTGTCGTCGAATCCACTGTCGGAGTTTCCGATTCCGAATTGGTTGGGTTCTCGACCAAGCGTCGGTCCAGGACGTGTGGAAGCTGGAGGCGGAAGTGCTGCTGTTGCTGCGCATTGTTGACACTCTCTTCTTTCTTGTCACTGATATCGGTATTCAATGGGGCGGCTTCAAAGTCTTAAAAAATGATGAGTCTTTGACATGGTCAGGTAAGGTGTTCAGTCTAGAGGAGCACTTACACGGAGACGGCACGTCTTCGCTCGGCTCAACAGGGAATAGGATACCGTAGATGGCACGCCACTGCTGTTCTTGGGTTCCATGGATTCGTCTTCGCAGAAACTTTCTCTGCTGTCTGGTGCATCCCAGAGGCAACACGGTTGAGACCAGCTCACATCTTATCGGTTCCAGCAAGTGATTATGAAGGCTGTTCTCGGAAAAGAATACTGCGGCGCATCGGGGGCAGTAGAAGGGTATTATGTGGTGGTCGTAAATGTGTTGTCTATTGCCTATAATATAAGCCTGTGTATCGCCTGGGAACGGATCATACTGACCTGACTTCATCCACGCTGGAAAATCCAGGCCCTGTACAGTAGGTCTTTCGGAATTGCCCGTCGGGATCGTGTCGATAGAACGGGCAAGCAAGCCTCTTGGCCGGCACATTTGAGAGACCGCCATCAGAGTCTGGCTTCCGAGACGGCTCATCTACGTCTTGATCAATCTTGGAGGGTTCGGATGCTGATTCCTCACCCTTGGGGGATCTCGAAGACCTGCACACACAAGGTGGTGAGAGAGGCGTCGCACGTCCCTGCTCCCGCGGCAGAGATAGACAGGAAGTCGTAGGTGGAGACGGGTCGTCCATTCCAGGTGTACCAGATTTGAGACTCTGGTTCAGCAAGGTGGCGAGCCCGTTGATTAGGGTTTCGGCTGCCTTCAATTCTGATTTGGTGCTTGGGTAACCTTGAGAGTGGGTGATTCTCGTGGCACCAATTGTGATGTCAAAGGACATGGCATCTGAAGAGCAACGGGCTCCATCCCCGGCTGGTTCTTCCAAATGAAGAGAACGTTCGGTGCCTTGTAGTCCAGGATAATTTCTCGGTAGGTTGCATCCACTCCGTATTCCTCGCCCACCTCGGCAGAAATTCATTGACTGTGTTTGGCATGGTCGAGGTGATTCTGCTAAGCACGCATAATCGATCACTCCATGGGGTTCCGAGCAACATTGGCATGTCTCTTTGAAGTCACGAGGTTAGTAAGTACGCTGTGCTCCAAGTGTTGCCCGTACCTCCGTAACTGCCATTTCCTTTAGAACGCAGCAGTGTCCTTTGGCTCTTTTTCTTATCGCCGCGCTGCTCGTGCCTCTCCATGTAGTACATTGGAAAAAGGAACATAGCTGCTAGGAGTAACGCGACAGATATCCCAGCCACGAGGCCAAAGATGTCGGGGGACATGCCGAGATACTCATCTTTGCGCTGCTGTTGGCAAGGAGGGGTATGGCGGTACTGAGGTTTCCAAGACGTGGACATATTATCATCGGTGGCTCAAGGTAGAGCGGATTCTGGGATGAGAGAAACTGTAGACTTGGAGTATCATGTGGGGTGGGCATGTAAAGCTCAAGTATGAAATAAGCGTCTTCCAACGCTTTGTGCGGAGAAGTAAAGGTCTCAGATCTCGACACCGTTTGCAGGTGTCTTGAACGTTGAGTCCCGATGATGCGGATTGGGTTAGGCCGGCGATCATCCGTACGACTAAACGCCAAGCCACTCATCTCGAAGGTTGTGCTCGGCAAGATTGGAGATCAAATGGCTACCTCTAGATTGACAGAAAAGGGTAAACAGATGATTGAAGACAAAGGTAAGTGAGTGTGATGTCGTCATTTAGTGTCTTGTTCAATCTCTGCCTCAAACAATTCAATGCAGATTCAATATAGGTGTACGATAAAGACTAGTTGATTGTTGTTGACTGACTGATAGAATACAGGCAGTCGACTATACATTTTATGGGACACTGCATTCCCTAGATAATTATACTGATTGCTGGCATTATTGAATTCCAGTCCACACACCACGGCAGTCTCAAGGTTGATTGACTTAAGTACCCTCCATAGGCCTTTCAACCTCGTTGCATCGACGAATGTAGGCTCGATTATCCATAATCCACTCCCTCTCCCTCCCAAAGAAGTAATAACGCGTGAATTCGTGCGCCCTCGGGTACCACTTGCACTCACTCGCCGTACCAGGGTCTTCGAGAGCTACTATGTCGCGATCGTTGGCCGCCTCGAACCAGCCCATCTTGTCGTCATTGACGATGCCGAAAATGAGGCCGTAGCAGATGACGGCATAGGACGACTGTTGCTGGATACGGAGGCGTGGTCGGCCCCAGGCCTCGTTGAAGAAGGCGTGGGCTTCTCTGATGCCTTTGGTGCCGTTTCCGCCGGTGGCGGCGATGCAGTTTGTCCAGTTGCGGGCTGGGTACCATTGGGCGTTGACGCTGGTGGCAGCGAAGCCGACGACGGCTACGATGATAGTTGATAGTTTCTAGAAGTGGGTGGTAGATTAGTATCATAACTCATAGACTGATACTCGAAAAGACGAAAGATTTGTAACATGCCATTGTGCTTGATTGTCTTCTTGATCTCTTAGAAAAGTGTGGTGCGGTTGGTAAAGGGGGAAGATTCTCATTTGATAGAAATCTATTCGTGAAATAGGCAGGGTAAGAAGAACTGCCTTGGGAGAACCTTGGTAGGCTCGGCGAAATTTTAGACTCAGAGCCTCTTCGGCTGTCCAGAACGACGTTGAACTTTGGAACTGCCATGTGCGACTCTTATGGGGCCACGATGCTTATTCTACTTTCCGAATCATCTCGAACGTCTGATCCTCTGGCGAAACTTAATTCATGGCTCAGAATCGTTGTTTTCCTACATACAGGAGCTTGATAGAAGAACCAACTTCTGTCGTCTTCTACCTAATCGACAATGTCGGCTCCCTTTTCCCATGCAGTATCAAAGTACTGGCTGTACCATGCCTCAATGTTCTTCGTATCGTCAATCCAGACACCATGCTGCTCATTATACTCTGGATAAATATTGTCGCTTCCCACATACAGAAGCTGCCTATCAACACACACGATCTTACT